TATTTAAATCCAGACTTTCAATTAAAGAGCACTTTTTTCCCCGGGAATGTTTATTTGAAGTTTAACTTGTGTCTTACGTGGCAAAACATTAACTGTGCAGAAGAGGTGTGAAATCAAGTATTTCAAGTAGGAGGTGTTGATTTCAAGTACACAGCTACTCAAAAAAAGCAAATAGCTTCACTTCCTAGCATAACAGCAGAAAACTGTCTTGGCTTGTTCTGGCTTGTGTCCCTTGTGATGCTGGAGATGAGGGATCCTGCTCAGCTCTGGGTGCCACCTTTTACTGCCGCTGCTGAGGTAGGACAGCACTGCTCTGCTCAGAATCTCCCTGATGGACAGCCCACCACGGCTCTCATCCTGCTGGGTGCCATTTCTTGGAGTTTAATGTCTTTAGAGCTTAACTTAATATAGAATTATAGAATGGTTGGGTTGGAAGGGACCTTAAAGCTCATCCACTTCCAGTCCCCTGCCATGGGCAAGGACACCTTCCTCTAGAGCAGGTTGCTCCAACAAACCCCAGTTGATACACGAAGGGTTTTAAAGATGTTCCCAGCTATTTCCTCTGCTCTGCTTTGGTTTTCAGCCACTTCTCAGAGGACGTGCTCAGCTCTAGCAAGGTATATATTTAGTATTTGGTTCTTGACTGCTTTTTGCACATCAGGTCAACCTCTGCTCTGTCTTCAGCCTCACACTGAAACCACATGATATGTGCGTGGTGAGTGTTCACAGCAAGTCATAGCAGCTCTATTTTGAGGGTATAAAAATGTCAACTCAAAAATGACTTTGAAATCCTCAATGGAGTGAGCAGATTCACTGCACTGAGAGTCACTGCAAAGCAGTGAGTAGCTTTCATTGCTCGGTGGTAGCTGGTTTCCTGGCAAAACTGAAATAATCTGGATTCATTTGGCCACATTCTCTGTTTGGACAGTCAGCTCTGGGTAGACTTCGGGTCTCTTTGGTGCTGCCGCCTTTCAAACCCTGCGTCTCTCAGCTGGACCTGGCTGGCAGAGCCAAGCAGGGGAAGTCATTCTGTGTGTCCAAAAGGCGTAGGAAATCCTAGAATCCCAGCCTGGTTTGTGTTGGAAGGGAGCTTAAAGCTCATCCAGCTCCAACCCCTGCCACGGGCAGGGACACCTTCCACTAGAGCAGGTTGCTCCAAGCCCCTGTGTCCAACCTGGCCTTGAAACAGCCCATAAGGTAGACACTGTCAGCTTGAGGGATATAACTGGTTGTTGCTTATCATATCCCAGTGGAAGAGGTAGAGAAGACATATATGGCTGAGGCAGCCCGGGGTTGCATGGCAACAGCGAGGACGTGGCTGGCATCATTTATGAGAATGTTGTATACTGTGGGACTTGGTACCTACTCCAGTGCACAGGGAAAAATTAAGCGCAGAATCAAAGAATATCTGGTGTTGGAAGGGACCCACAAGGATCATCAAGTCCAACTCCCAGCTCCTCACAGGGCATTTATTATTTAAAGGTTTTTTTGAGTAGAACAGCAGTAGATCCTTAGGCTGTGATGGTGCTAAATGTGCTGTGTGAGTGCTTTCCAACGTGGGCTGGGGCATTTGGAGCACCCTGTGTTTCCCCAGGCTCACATACCCCTGCAGTTTGCCACGTCAGACCCACCCGTCCCCTCCAGGGCTTGGCCCACCGGGGCCAGCTGGAGCAGGTTAAAGCCTTTCCCCTTGTCCTGTCCCTTCATCCCTTGTCTAAAGCCCCTCTCCAGGTTTTCTGGAGCCCTTTTAGGCACTGGAGCTGCTTCAGGAGCCTTCCGCTCAGCCTGGCTCCAGAGCAGAGCTGCTCCAGCCCTCGCAGCAGCTCCAGGGCCTCCTCCGGATCCTCTCCAGCAGCTCCACATCCCTCTGGTGTTATGGAATTGATTAATTCCATTACTTTTGTGGCTGCTCTTAGGCCTGGTCTCCAGCGCTTGTAAAGTGCTTCTGTGATTTGAGGTGGGCATTAGGGTGGGCTGAGGGACTCGTCCTCACTGTCGATGCCTGCGGGTGGAGCCTGCCCTGGAGGTCTCTAACTTCCCTCATCAGTGAGCTCAGAAAGAAAACGTACAATTCCTGGAACTGCTTATCTGTCACTGCACATGGTGGGGGGAGGCAGAAGGTGCTGCTGCTGCCCAGGACACTGAGCTAAGGCAGTTACTCCTTCCTTACTTACACACCGAGGTGGCAGATCTTCTCGCCTGCTTGCTAGGAACCAACCGGAGTGGTGGTCTTGAGCCATGACTTACTCCTTGTGGGCAGCACTAATTCGTCGGATAGTAAGTATACATGGAAACCTGAGGATGCTGATCCCACAGAGTTAGACTTGCCACTTGCTGTGTAGGCTTTTGGCTGCTTACCAAGAGAAAATATATAGGCTGTGAAATGTTATATAAGGCCCTCTAAAAGTGTGGTGGGTTGTGTTGGTTGGCTGGTTTTGATATGGTGATATGTTCTTGATGATTCTCTTAGTGGTGCAGAATATATACTTTACCTTTTAGTAATAATCCTTAGAATAGCTGAGGTTAGAAAGGACCTCTGGGGCTCATGGAGCCCAGCATCCAGGTCAGAGCAGAGTCAACTGTGAAATAAGAGAGTAATATTTTAACAGAATAAGGTGTATTGCCATCTTCCTGGCCTAGTGCAGGGAACAGCTGGGATGGGTTTCTGCATCTGCAAGGACTGGTAAACTCTCCTTAGTGCAGCGTCACACGTAAGGGGCAGGGGAGTTCTGAATATGGGTGATTTAACCCAATTTCTGACTTCTTTTAGTTATAAAAAGGAGGGAGAAAGAGATAAAGGAAAAAAAGGCCTTCCAATAAATAGGCAATAATTTTTCTCTGAGTTCTGCATTAACAAGGCAGATGATCACAACTTCATTCCATTGTGCAATCACATTCATATGCAATTTATGCCAGTAGATTTTAACTTCTATTTCTTGCACTTCAAGCTGTGGGGTGTCATTTTGGCTGTCGGATGTCTCGGTCTCTTTGGCAAACAAAGCTATTTTTGAAGCTGTCTGTGCAGATTCTGACTCATGAGATCTCTTTCAACTGGTGGAATAAAGACGTGGTGTATGAGGAATCCATCAGTGCAGAAGAGTTTTTCACATCAGTGTGTGCATTCGTGCTTGGTTATGGTTAATTTTTGTGCTGGTAGGACCAATATTGTGTGTGCATCACTTTCAGGAACTGGAAATTGCAGGAGTAATCAGCCCTGGACTACAGCCAAACCCAGCTTAATTCCAAGGGAGCACTGAAAGAGCCATAATCATCATGTGTCATTGTAGAAGCACTAGAGGGAAATCAGTAGAGAGCTTGGCTGGTTTATTTTGTATGAAAATTAAGTAAATTTTTTTCCTGGCTGCTGGTACAAGAATTATGAAGTTCGGGATCGAAGATGGAGAATTTGAATCCTGGATCAGCAGTGGTATTTATTTGATTGGGGAGATTTTTCTCTGATTCTAGACAAGAAAATTCCCAATTTGGGTTTATCTTGGGCACTAAGAGGAGACCAGACCCTCCTTTTGATGGCCTTTTCCTCTGAAATGGCTGGGTTTACTGCACCATGAATATTCTGTTTATCAAGGAAATGCTGTCTCTGGCCTCGCTCCACATGTCGTACACCTCTGCCTTCAGCTTTGGTTTCTTCTGCCAAGGGATGGAGAAAGAAAGAGAATGGATCACACGTATTAGCACAAGCTTGTTGAGTTACTAATGGGTAGTTGTCTCTTACAGAGGAATGGTTTCTGTTCAGAACAGATCTGTTCTTAAGAGCAACAAAAGTCAAAGCCAGACACATCAGTTCTTCATCCTGCAGGATCTCTAGTTCTGTAGAGCTCATACGTGAAAAAAGACCTGAACATTGTCACTCTGGTACATTCAGTGTCTTACATTATTTTCCCAATCTGTCGTGTTCTACAGCTCTTGATTTGTAATCCCAGTTTGTTCTTCATTCATGCTCTTTGTCTGGAACACCAGGTTGTTCCAAGTAAAATGTCAATGCCAGAAAATGCAAATGTATGTCTATGATCTAATTTGAGTTGCTTGTGTCTAAAAGCATCTCAGCCATAAATCACAACAGTACATATGTATAGTTCTCAGAGTATTTGGGTGATTTTGACTGATATTTAAAAAACCAAAAGTTTAATACAAACTATGAAGTGCTATCCAGAGACTATGAAGGCTGAAAGAGGATGGAAGTAGAGAAAATAATGTCTTTTTTAACTAGCCTCTGCTGCATTTGAAAACTCAGCTTATACTTACTGACAAATAAACCTTTTGAAGAGGAAGGAATGGATTTTCCCCAGCCACCTCCAAGGTCCCACTTTCAAATTCCCAATTAAGAATTACTGAGCCTTCAGATGAGCAATACATTTGCATCTAGATGTTCTGCTGCTGCTGCTGAGGCGGTGTTATCTGGGCTGTCCATGCTTTCTCCTTCCAACCATCACACTGGTGATAACGCAGCACTTTGTATAAACAATGTCTCCTACATGCCATGAAATGAAGTTGCTTTTTTGCTGCTCACGTTCCTGTTTCTCAGCTTTTCAGGCTGCGTTTCTAGCTAGAAACAGTGTGAGTGATTGCAAGTAGTGCAATCTATACACCATGCATAGAGAGAAGGTGCATCAGTCGCAGCCAGTGGGACTTCCAATGACAAGGAGATGCTCATGTCTGTTGAATCATCTTCTGTCTGGGGCAGGGAGTGTTGTCGCACAACTGCTGGGGGCTGCAGGTATGGGGCCTGACATAGATGCCACTTTTTCAGTGCAGAAAGCAGCAAAAGTTGATAAATATTCATTTATTGTATGTAGTGATTGCATAATGCAGGACTCGTAATGGGAGATTGGGATTGGAAACAAATTCATAACAAGCAAGTTTATTCCTGCCTTTATGTTGACCAAGTGTAACTGGTGGATTCCAACCCATTCGGCAAATGGACTGTTTGTCCTTGAGCTGGGGCTGAAGGAATGCTCAAAGGTCTGGTGGTGTCGTTGCAGGACCAGCTGAAGCAGTGCTTCTCCAGGCAGCCCGCGGGAGCCAAGGACACCGACACGCTCGTGCAGGAGCCCGACAGCCAGTACGGCACCTGGAACAACCCGCGGCACAGCGGGGACAGGTAAGGGCACCAGTCCCAGCGGGCAGGGCTCTGCTCAGCTGGGCAAGGGGAGAAACCCTGGGCTTGGGTGTGCACGTGTGCGTGGGGCTTCTCGAACGCCTCACGCTCGGTCTCAGTGACCACGTGGTTTCTTAGTGTGTCGGTGAAGAAATATTCCTTTAATGTCTGCACATTGCAGTAAGTTTTGAAATTTAAACTCCACCCACAGTGAGAATGCAGCATCACCACTTCCAGAATCAGTGGCAATACCTGCTTGGACTGGAATAGGCTGGTGTGGGTTGAAAGGAACCTTAAAGCTCCTCCAGTTGCAACCCCTGCCCTGGGCAGGGACACCTTCCACTAGAGCAGGTTGCTCCAAGCCCCTGTGTCCAACCTGGCCTTGAACACTGCCAGGGATGGGGCAGCCACAGCTTCTCTGGGCACCCTGTGCCAGCGCCTCAGCACCCTCACAGGGAAGAGCTTCTGCCTCAGAGCTCATCTCAATCTCCCCTCTGGCAGGTTAAAGCCATTCCCCTGATCCTGTCCCTACAGGCCCTTGTCCAAAGCCCCTCTCCAGGTTTCCGGGAGCCCCTTTAGGCACTGGAGCTGCTTGGAAGTCTGTCAGGTGAATGAAAGGTAGTGTTACAGATGCTTTTCTATTGTTAACATGATTTAATGAAATAAACCTAGAGCACTGAAGTGTGAGGGGTTTGTAACTTATACCTGTTGGGTAAATTATAGCTTCATCTACACTGAGCCAATATCCTGTCTGCTCAGTGCAGTGTGAAAATAGCATTTTATCTGGGGTTTTAATGCTATACTTGTTGAGATCTTATAGGAGACATTAATGTCAATTATGTTTGGTGTGTTCTACACTTGAGAACAGTGTGTTATCAATATTTTATTGCCTATGAGATCAGGGCAGCTTTCAGGCTGAAGTCAGTGAGCTCACTGACACACCAGCAGTGTCATCCAAGCCTTCTGTTAAATTAACTTTGATTTCAGTATGTTACAGGTATTTTCTGTCATCAGTTTCTTAACAAAGGTGCTGTCTCAGCTCCACAGCAGACAGCAATTGAGTGTAGCTTCAAACCTGGAGGATTCTTCCTGATTAAAAAAGCTCCACCTAGAAGTTCTGGTTCATTGAAGTATTGAACTCAGTCTCCATGTCCTCAAGCTTTGTTTCCACTCTAAGAAATGTTTAGTTTCTTCTGCTTTTACAGTGTAATGATGACACTATAGTGACTTTTTAGCATTTTGCCACCCCCTTGCTCTATTTTAACTTGACTTACGGCTCACTGCGGGGGACTTGCTGGTCTATTAATTCAAACAGAGGAATGACAAGAACATGCTTTTAAATATTAAATTAATAATGGGAACCTTCCTGGAATCTGCATTTTGTTTGCAGTTTGTTTTATGAATCAGAGGACTTGTCATAAGGACAAGGGCAGACGTCCTGCTGCTCTTGCCTTGGTGACGGAGCACAGCCCTGCACTCAGCTGCTGCGGTGCTTGTCTCCTCCTCTGCTCAGCCCAGGGGCAGGAACTTACAGGAGACTTGGATAATTCAGCTTTCCTGTTTTGCCTGGCTCACTTCCCTTAGACTTTATATCTCGCCAGCCACACAGCCCTGGGGCTGTGTTCCCTGGGCACCTTGATGTGCCTGCCTGAGCAGTGTGTGGCCATCGCTGAACCCGGGGCTGAGAGCACACTGGGGATATTGGCACCATGACCCGAGTCTTGGGGGGGGGGCACACAAGGAACAAATGGGGACAGGAGGGACAAAACAATGTCACCAGCCTGCTGCTGCTGTGTCAGAGGAGCTTCCAGCTTCTGGCATTTTCATAGATTCATGGAATCACAGACTGGTTTGGGTTGGAAGGAACCTTAAAGCTCATCCAGTTCCAACCAGATTAGGACCAATCATGTAAAATTAGGAGCTTTGACTCCTGGTTTCACACGATGAAGCAACACATTCTTTCTGACCTCTTAGCATCATCTTGCTAAACCTGATGAGATTTGCTTGCAGTCGACAGTGAGGACTGGTCTCAGTTTGCTGTGTGCCTGTGATGCCCATGCTGCTGGCATGTGTGTGGGCTGGATGAAGGGTAGCTTTTCAGAGAAGCGAGTGTCTGTAAATGGCACCAGTTGAACATTGTTGGTAGCTTACGGATGTGCTCATAAAGCTTGGAATCTTAATGAAGTAATAGAAGAAGATGCATAATACATCATCTTCCATGTTCTGGTGGATCTAAAGCCTAACACTGCAGATACCAAATACCATTGAAAGCAAAACCACCAGACAAACCCTTCCCCCTGGAGCTCATTAGAGCCATTGCTTAATTATCTGGGGCCCACACACTGGAGGAGGGAAGAGGCATTCACTGTGCCCCTGTGCTGGAAACCCTCTGTGCAGGGTTTGCTCTGCCAGACTGGAAATACCCCATCCACTGCTGCTTGGTAGAAGGTTGTTATTCAACAGCTCCTGAGTGTTTTCCTCTGAGATCACTATTGGACTGTACCAAATACTAAGGTCTATTGTTCAATATGTGTGTGTATATTCCTGCATAAGTGTTGAGATTTTGGGGGGTTTGAACAGTTTTCCTAGATACTTGCTGAAGAAAAGGTTCTCAGTAACAAAAGGCTCTTGTTAAGAAAAAAGCCACACATCTATATGAAATATACAATAATACATTAGTAATAGATTAATATGACTTAAAATAAATACAATCTAAGTATTATATGTGTATGTATATATCAAAGCGCCCTCCTGGGGAGAAGAAGGGAACATGAACAAGTGATCTTGAAAGCTCTGCAAGTACCTCATAGTGTCCTGCAGGAATCCACTTACAGGAAGAGTATTGACTGTTCTGTATTGATAAGCATTTATATGTATTTGAGATTATTTTACATGAGAAAAGAGAAGAAACTTTTATCAGTTTCTCTTTGCTTGAGGCCTGCAAACAGGGCATTACCCTTCAGAGTGGTTTCAAATGTACACAGTGCCAAAGTGTAAGGTCTACTGCTGTTACATATTAAACAGGGAAATCGCTGGGGGGGGGGGAAGGTATTTCCTGACTGTTATTTCCTTGCTGTTTCCCTCATCTTGTTTGTGTGTGTACGTTTGGAGGGGCCTTTGTGTTACAGTCCAATAATTACAATCTATCTGTATACTTGCATTATCCAATACACTGTAAATCCACGTAGGTAAAAAGCTGTGCTAATGAAAGTGATCCACACCCTTGCTGCTGGTACCTGCTGCCTCCAAACCTGCCTTTGGTGCTTGTTTCAGTTCTACCTTTATTTATCATCTGCTGAGTATGTGTGATCCAGACTGTCCTGGCATGTATTTGTTTACCCTGAAGTCTCACAGATTCCATTGTCTTCATTTGCAGCTTTGTACCTGAATCTCCTTCCTTGGAAAACGATGTCATTTCAACGAGGAAGCAGCCTCCAAACAGCCACCCATCCTCCCTGTCCTCGCAGACAGAACCTGCCTCCCTGGCTGATCACCATGACTTCTCGAAAGACCAAAGAAGCACGAGTTTGGATCGTTCTAGCACTGACATGGACTCTACTGATGGGACTGATTTACCTCCTCCAGGAGACACCTACCCTGATGGAAAGACCACTGACTTCTCTTTCATTGATGTAAGTTACTATAATGGGAAACAAGTTCTTCGTTAACTATATCATTACCTGTGTTGGTCACTGCAAAGCAGTGCCTTCTGGAAGCTTTGCACTCCATCTTCCTCTGCCTTTTCTTTATCACATAGAGTTTTTCCAGCTGACTTCCTGCCTGAAAAGTTTAAGATCAAAGCTACAAAGTTCTTCTGGTTTCTTTAGTGCTTAGATTTTTGAGAGATTCCAAAAAGCTGTTGACCTTGGGTCTGCCAGTGGCTTAATAAAGTTGCTGTTTCTCTTGGTGCTCCTCAGTGAGCTGTAATGGAAGAGTTAAATGGTTTTACACTGGAAGCAAATATCACAAGTAGCTACTGGCTGCTGTGCTATGAGCCAGGCAGATTCAAAGCTATGAAGACCTTTACTAATATTTTTCTTATTTACAATTGGTCTCCATCTGAAGTCACTTACAACTGCACTTTAAGGGACTTCCTTCATACTTAACCTTGCAGTTAGTATAAGAACAGTGGTTTCCTTGGCTGTGGTTAAAGGTATCTCTTTAAAACACGAATAGCTGCAAGTGCAGCTGGCAATATGCTGTTTTAATGAGTAGTTTATTCCTAACCTGAAATCTCTTGGAAAGAAAGAAAACCACGTCTCCTGAAGAGGAGATGACCAGCAAGTCTCTCACAACAAATTGCTTTAAACAAATAAATAAACTACAGCTCCTTCTTTTGCCCTGTAAATGTTATTGCTTTACTGTCACATCCAGAGATGGATGTGTTGGAAAGGACAGAGCACAGAACTTTTCCGAATGCTGTGACACTTCACTTGCAACGTGACAATTGCCTTGTTGCTGGTGAACAGCTTGATATGTCTATGGATGGCAGCCCATGAGGACAATGAAATCCCAGCACTCTGCTGCAAGAGAATTTGTGTAGTTGCTCTTTTTAGGTCCCAATCATGTTCTCGGCCTTCAGCTGGTACTAGCGAGCAAGGCTGCACTCTGAAAACACTCCAGGAACTAAAATCCTATTTATTGCAGCTATTTTTTATTAATTCAGTTAAAATAATTCATGTAGATCAGGCATCCACAGCCAAGATAGATCAAAGAAGCAGCACTGCACCCAGTTAGCCACAATCTAGCTTATCCTCATTATAAATTCTCTTTAATATAATTTTAAGTAACTACAAGAATAATAATCAGGCAAATAGCTATAGTTTAATTAAACTGAATGGGTTAATGCATTAATGTAGGGTGGGAAATCATTATGGAGGAGATTACTTTTATTTTCAGGCTGGTTAAAGTAAAGGTTTTGTCTCTCTTTACAGCAAACCACTGTTCTGGACTCCAGTGCTCTGAAAACTCGTGTGCAGCTCAGCAAGAAGAGACGCCGCCGGGCTCCTATTTCCCACTCCCTTAGAAGAAGCAGAGGGCTGGAGTTTGAAAACAGGTTTTCTTTGACAGAAGAACCAGACAATACCTGGATGTTTAAAGATTCCACAGGTATCCCTCACTACCTGAAATAATCAGCTGTGATCAGTTTGGTTGTAAGGGCAGGAATTCCTACTTGGTACAACATACCTGAAGTTGCATCGAGGTTTAACAGCAGTTTCCTTTTCCTACCTCTGGGTCATCCTCTAAATCAAGTCTCCCCCTCCATTCCTCGGAGTCTTTGGAGCAAGGGCAGCACCAGACCCGCAGAAGAGCAGGGTGAAGGAGAATGTTGTTGCAGTTTCTGAGTTGCTGGCTGCTGCCTTAAAGAGAATTTTGTTCACTGAGGAAATAGTGAGTTTGGAAATTGCTGCAGTTGGCTGCATTATCTCACATTAAAACTTATCTCACATTATGTGGTCAACCGAGATGTTTAGAAGCAGCAATATTCATTAAATTAGGAGTACCTTCTGCTCACCTGTCAGCAAGAAATCTTTCTATTGCTGAGTACCTAGTATGCTTGTTGAAACACTGAGTTCAGTCCTGTGGTGTGTTAATATAACTCTTAATACACATTTGAATGGAAAGGGAGATCTATAACAAGATATGGATAATAAAACCTGCTGACTAATGTTTTTTTCTCTCCTCTGCTTCTTTTCTTTTAAACAAATAATTAGAAGAGAAGAGAACTATGCAACAGGAAGATTCCGATGAGGAAGACAAGGTCCAGCATACCACGAGGTCACCGTCTGTACAAGCTCAGAGACTCCCCGTGTTTCCAGGAATGGATCATTCTGTTCTCAAGGTAAGTGTAGGCAGAAGGTGTCAGCTGAGAGTTAAAGCGGGTCAGGAGCTGCAGATCCTCTCCAGGAGCAGAGCTAGGAAGTTTTGCTGAAGATGCCTGCAGGGGTGGGTGTGATGCGTGGAAAAGCCACCCGGTTATCTTTCTTATTTTAACTCGTGGCTAGAAACATGAAGTGATTTGGAACAAAACAAGCTTTGCAACAGCAAACATGCTTTTGAACCTGCAAGGTTTATAAGGAATCCCTTCAGTGATTTCAGGATATGGTTTATAGGTCTCAATAATCTGTTTTCCATTCCTAAACCGTCTGAATGTTGGCTTAACAAGGAGCCCTTTTTCCTACTTTTATATTCAGGCCCAGCTGCGGAGAAGACAAGAGTCAGAGGGTTCTGGTGAAAAAAGTTCTGCTCAGCCCTTCAAATCCCCTAAACCACAGCCGCAGCTCGGAACTCCCGGTAGCAGAGTGCTGCCCCCCAGTGTAGAGAAGGAGGACAGGTGAGAGACTTCCTCCAGTGTCGGAAAGATGCGAAGACTCATTTTGGTGGGAGAACAACATAATGCAGATACACTTCCCAAGGCTGTAGAGGAAATGGGATATTCCTTTTTTGATTCTGTCATTAAGTTTTATAATTAAAAGAGGGGTTTTTTCATCTCTTAGGTCAGAAGAAAAGTCTCCTCAGTGGCTGAAGGAGCTGAAATCAAAGAAGAGACAGAGCCATTATGAGAACCAGGTTTGAAAAGGTACCTTCTGATGGAAAGAGGGGCTTTGCAGTGATGGAAGCACACATGGGGAACGTTTCCTTACCATGTCAGTGACACAGCTCTGTAAGCATAAACGCTGAAGCAGGAGTGTGCACCTCGAATGTGCAGTAGTTCTGTGCTGAGGCAGAGCAGTTTGCCTAGAAGTTTTCATTCACAGGTGATACAGATCCACTGGTTGTCTGCAGATAACTTAATTTTAACAGCATCCAGTCTGCTTGTGCTTCCATCGAGTTAGCACATTAAATAGGACCAAGACAACACTACAGAAGTAGTACTGGTTTGTGGGGGCTTTCCTGTCACACTGAGAGGGGTCTGACTGTTTTCTTGACGGTGTCATACCATGACTTGATTGCTTCTGTGTTTTCTTTGCAGGTAGTGGTTCTAACTAGAAGAAGATGAAGAAGTTTAACAGAAGCCTTAACTCATCTGAACCTAAAATTCACACGTCACGTTGCTGCTGTTTGCTTCCTGCCTCAACTGCTATGTGCATGGTGCCTTCCTGTTTCGTGGAGAAAGCTGCTTCATCTTCATAGTCAAATACAAAGCTGTATCTTTTCAGATGTGGCCAGTCACCCTCGGCCTGCCTGAAAGAAGAACACGTGGGTCATTGGTAGCACTTCAGAAAGTCAGGAAAGATGGGAATACTTGATGTAGGAGCAGAAAAGTCCCTCGCTGTTGAGCAGAGACTACATTTCTCCATAGGTTTTCAGGGACTCAGAAGGGTGACTGCTGGTAGCCACATCAGGAGTAAGGCTGGGCTTTGTGTTTGGTTATGAAAATAACAATTTTAATCAAATTTATCTTTTTCTTTTTCTTTTTTTTTTTTTTTTTTTGTGGAAAAAATAGTAAGCTCCTGTTTAGACTGAAGTCTGTGGAAGGTGAGAGTGAGCGAACAAATGATGTTTACTGCCATATTGCAAAAGGAAACTTGATTATTTTTTGTAAAATGTATTTTTGATTGGCTTATATTTACATGTGATCTGCTGAGCCAGCAGATGGTATAATTTTTAGATGAACAAAATGTTGACTTTTGTCACTCTTGAAATGGTATATTCTGTGCTTTGTCAGCATGTGGAATAATTGCTTCATTGGAATGTCCTTCCTAAAAAGGATCAAGCAATAATGTCAACCAGTTCTCTCTAAAAACCATAACTGTGTAAATACTGTTTTTATAACAAAAAAGGAAGGGAAGAGGGAGGATGTTACACTCATATCAGGGTTCCAGTTAATTCTTGAATGTCACTTTAATAGCAGTTTGGATAGTCCCACTTCATAGTTTTATTTGTTAATCTGTAAATACCAGGTTTAAGTTTTTATTTTTATGCTGATTTTATGGAATAACCTAAATGTGATCTTCAGCTTCTCAATCATTTACTTTCCTTTTGCTAAGACCGATGTTCTAATAGCGGCGTAGATCTCATGCACAACACGGGTGTTACGGATACCACTGATCTCTCAAATATGTTACTATCTTTGAATACAGATTCTGAAATAGCAACCGAGGTGTCCACGTAAGACATACTTTATTCTCTCCCCAAATAAGTGCTCTTTTCAGTAAACCTTGTCAAGATGTAGCCCCTCGAGGGAGGTTATTCTGTCATGTCAGTATTCCTCACGCAGAGCCCAAACGCCGTGGCTGGGGTGGGAGCAGGGGCTGCTCCTTCCTTTGCCCTCCCCATGTCCTGCTTTTGGGCTTCTCTGGATATTAATGATAAAGCACCAGCACTTGAACTAATTTTCCTTCTTCTTTTTTTACAATCAGCATTTCGGAAAGCTTGATCTTACTGGGGTTACCACAGTGGTGCATCTGCGAGCCAGAGTGGCATGCCTGCTCTGCTGTCTGTCAAGCTTGTAGCTGCCAAAACCATGTGCCAATTCTTCTCATGGAGGAGTCATAGAGGAGGGGAATTTTAGTCCCAGTCTGCTCATAGGAAATAACAGCAGTATGTCAGGAGACAAGTCCCATATGCCCAGATCTCTCTCCCAGATTTAGTTCCGATAGCAGCTGCCCGTACTTAATGGAGATGAAATGAATATGTCATCAGAGCTCTTCCAGTGTTAGGGTTTCACAGCCCCTTCTGCTACCAGTTAAGAAACGATCACCCCAGATTTCTGCCAAGCCTTTCATTCTGTGTGGGTTTAACCTGGGCCACGAGATGGGCTTCCATTTGGATGCAGGCAACCACCACTAAAGAGCTGCTCTCGGCTCACTTTACATGTTGCACATAATTTCTTCCCTCTTCTTTAGCTGATGGTGGAAACGACAACTCTTAAAGCTTCGCTTGTGTGTCTTTTGGGATGTGTTTTGTGTTGGCAGCACTCGAGGGTACCATCAGTTCCATACCCCGTGTGCCACACGCTTGGGTCCCCCCGAGCAGCAGCGTGTGCGGGTGTGAGAGGAGCAGCGATGCTTTGCTTACTCAGATGAAGTGGGGCTGACTTCAGACAGTACCTAGAAATCATGTAAATTCCCCCTGCTCACGAGAGTATTTACCCAGGCTCGATGTTCAAATTCAGCAGGTTGAGAGTGTTGCATTACCAATAGCTGGAGGATTTACTGGTTCTTGGTCTAATAAATGAAGGCCAGAAGTTGTGTAGCTGGAGTGTTTGCTCTGTGTTTGAGGAAACTGAGGGGATTAACACCGGGTTTCCACAAAGCCCTTTGAATGTGTATGCATTTCCACATCTGCTTGGACAATGCACTGAACCTTACTGTAACTGGTAGTTTAACCTACTACTGAGAAATGTTTAATGCTTAAATGTCTAATTAAAAAGCATCTTTAGAATGTTGTTGAATGGGAAGGTGTTTTTTCTGCTCTATCATTTCTTTATGTTGTACATGGATTAAAGACCTACTTCAGGTTATCACTATGTAATAAAAGATATATAAATATGTTATTACTACTTAAATGATAGAACATACTGTAATACACTTTATATAATTCTATTTTAACTCCAAATAATGCTTGTTTGAATTTTTTTATGCTTTTACTTTTGTTGCCACTTACTTCTTTTTGCTGTTAGTACAAGATGGAAGTGAGCTCTTGGCCTCAGCACTTCAGGGATGAGTCTTCATGAATTACTGGAACCTGCCTTAGAGCAGGTTCCATTTCTTGTCCTAGCAGAGGCTGAGTAATAACAAGTGTGATGGAGATCCTGGCACTCCAGGACCTCTACCTAATGTTTTTTAAGAGTCTAAGTAGATGTAATTTGGAAGTCCTTCCTGCTAGCACTGCTCTTGTTCTTACCAGAAATCCTTCCTCCAGTTCAGTTTGGGATTTACACAGCCACTGTGTTCCATTTTATTGGAATCCCCGCTTGTGGATTTCTTCCCTGTTATTTTTGTGTCTGCAGATGCACATCTTCAAGGTCTGGTGCAGCTGAATTTGAGCTCTGAGCTGCTCAGATTCTCACTGCTTTGGTTTTACTTCCTGTGGAGAAAGAGGCAACATTTCTGTTCTTCAGCCTTTGAAGTCTGAAAGTGCCCCTCTAGGAATTACCCCCTCCTTCTGCTTGCACAGAAGTTTGTTTCACCCTCTATTTGTTTGCAAACAATTATTGGGGAACTGTTAAACACTGTGTGTCAGATTCAGAAATGCAAACCCTTAACTGGCCCTTTCATCCGGAGGAGCAGCATCCGTTCGCTTATAACCTTTAGTACTTGTGCAAACACACTGGAATAGGCCTCCTGGCTTAGGTATTAAACCGAGGATGTGGTTTGATGTCAGGGTGTTTAAAGGAGAGCAAAATAGCTTAGTGGGGATCAGGGCAGTTCAAAGGCAAATATCACATAAATAGTTTAAATGCAATGTGTTAAAGTCTGTGCCCCGCTAAAAGGTGCTTCTGTCTCGAAGCCTTTTCCCCTTTATGTGAGAATCCTGGTGCTGATACTGCAGTGTCGTTGCCCTTTGTCTTACTGTGAGTAGGATGGGAGAGAACCTTTGGCAGACGTTTAACTGGATCCTGTGAAGCCAGAGGAGCCGTGTATCCACAGCTCCAGTGGTCTGTGTGTGGTGTCCCGAGTGCGGGCAGTGAAGCCATGGAGGAGCACAGGATTGCCAGCACGGACTGGGATGTAGGGACAGGACAAGGGGAATGACTTTAACCTGCCCGAGGGGAGATTGAGATGAGCTCTGAGGCAGAAGCTCTTCCCTGTGAGGGTGCTGAGGCGCTGGCACAGGGTGCCCAGAGGAGCTGTGGCTGCCCCATCCCTGGCAGTGTTCAAGGGCAGGTTGGACACAGGGGCTTGGAGCAACCTGCTCTAGTGGAAGGTGTCCCTGCCCGGGGCAGGAGGTTGGAGCTGGAGGAGCTTTAAGGTCCCTTCCAACACAAACCACTCTATTAAAAACAATGGTATCTATTAAACATGATGGTATCAAGCCTGTTTTTAAAGGAGCTATTGTATAGATTAACATTTTATATTGTTCCACATAGCCTTATAGCTTATGTAAATATGGGTCACAATAAATATATTGTGCTATAGAGAATATTTTGTACTACATAGTTTCCTAAGTAATAAAGATATTCTGGCTGCCGTGTATTGTACTGTACCATTACCATTCCAGTCCAGCTTTACCAGATAGTAGGAAAAAACAATCTATTTTCTAACACTATAACCATTTCTCAAAGGGATTTAAGAGGCTGACAGCAGAAGGAAATTGAGTTCTGTTAGGAAGGCAAATCAGTGAGATCTAGTGCCCCTCTTGTCATGTTTCTGTAATTGCCTTATCAACGTGCAAGCTGCGAGCGTGGCAAGGAAGGTTCATGGGCACTGCAGAGCTCGGTGCAGTGGGGACACTGGCCAGGAAGGGACTGGGGGCAGAGTTCTGTGTTTCTAATGTGTCAGAACCAGGTGCTGTTGTGTTTGGTGAAGGAGGCAAATTAACCCAGCCCAGGCTCGCCTCTGAGCGCCCCTCCTGTGCGGAAGGGATTTGGTATTTTAGAGCCAAGCACTTCGATGTGCAGAGGACCTGCAATAGGAACGGGCTGTACCAGGCTGCTGACCGTGCCGGGCTCTCTGTACGTACCATGGCCACAAGCAAGCTCATGGCGAGCTGTGCTGCCACGTTAACGTCGTGTTGCCGAGACCCTCATCCCACCCCAGCTCGATTCCATGCAGGGGAGCTGTGCAGCACCCATGGATGGGCTCCAGCGGGACAGGCAGAGCTCCTCGTGGTGGTTGGACTCGGTGTTGGAGGAGGGTTGCAGTGGCTGTGGATGGTCTGTGCCACACGGGGCTTTGTGCATCATCCCCTGCTCCGTGCCAGGGCCGAGCTCCCTGGGGAAGCTGCCCCATGGCCGTGCATCGGTGATGGGATGGGGATGAGGAACCTCACCATGAGCAGCTCTGATGGGCGGTGTGATGCAGCACAGCGCAGCAGGGCTCCATCCGGGTGCTGTCATGGGCAGGGTGGTTTTCTGACCATCTCCCACTTGGGCAAACTCCAAGTTTGTCCAACCTGGCCAAATGGACCTGGGTTTGGGTGTTTTTGGGAGCTGTTTTCTGTGCAGTTCTTAGGTTCAAGTTGAGATGCAGGTGGGAAACCCTGCAAGAGATGCAGTGAATGGAGAGGTGTGGAGTTGAATGGAGCTTTGTG